GGAGACCCTGTCTCAAAAAGACAAAAAAGAAAGAAAGAAAGAAAGAAAGAAAGAAAGAAAGAAAGAAAGAAAGAAAGAAAGAAAGAAAGAAAGAAAGAAAGAAAGAAAGAAAGAAAGAAAGAAAGAAAGAAAGAAAGAAAGAAAGAAAGAAAGAAAGAAAGAAAGAAAGAAAGAAAGAAAGAAAGAAAGAAAGAAAGAAAGAAAGAAAGAAAGAAAGAAAGAAAGAAAGAAAGAAAGAAAGAAAGAAAGAAAGAAAGAAAGAAAGAAAGAAAGAAAGAAAGAAAGAAAGAAAGAAAGAAAGAAAGAAAGAAAGAAAGAAAGAAAGAAAGAAAGGAAGAAAGATAACAGACTAGAGAACAGGTTATAAATGGCACTGGTTTCCAGAAACATTCCATAGTAAAACTCCACAGCAAACTTCCAGCACTGGAGATTGATGTAATAATAGTTAAGCCTTAAAGACAGCCTTACTGCTTGATAGTCACTGTGCTGCCCATTTTATATACAGTACTTCATTAGCATTCTTGCATCAACTGATGTGAAAGATACTATCTTCACTATTCTTTAAAAGATGAGAAAATAAAGCAAAGACTGGACAGGGAACATGTCTACCTCCAGACAGTTAATTCGTGCTGCCTTTAGGATTTCAACCCAAGTAGCCAGACACAAAATCCCAGCCAGTTAATCCAGAATGTATCCTTACTCCAACAGATGAGTTACTAGAAACTTTTCAATATATACTCAGATCTTTAAAAGAAAAGGAAAAAAAATCCCACCAATAAACAGGAGCCAACAGTATAAAGTCCTCAGCTCCTTCAAGTCACTGCAGTGATAAACAGAAATATACTACTTTGATGGCGAGTAATCACTACTTTAGGAATTACAATTGGAGGGAAGTGAGACTAAAATAACTATATTGATTATCCTTTTTTCTCCTTCCTATAGGGGAGCCTTTTACTAAAGCCTTTCTCTGTTACAGGTTGATAAAATAAGCAATTTTGAAATCCAGAGCAAGGATTGGAAAGCTACACTTTGTAGACCCATTTGGTTGATCACTAGTTTTCAAAAAATATTTTATTATTTTTATTTTATGTGTATGAGTGCTTTTACCTGCATGTGTAAAAGTGCACCACATGTGTGCAGTGTCCACAGAGACCAGAAGAGGGAGTCAGATCCCCTGGAATTGGTGTTACAGGTGGTTGTTAGCCACCACGTGGGTGCTAGGAAGAGAATCTGGGTCCTTCTTAAGAGTGTCCAGTGCTCTTAACCCCTAAGCCATCTCTCCAGCCCCTCACCACTTGTTTTAGTAAATAACGTTTTATTGAAATGTAGCTGTGACAATTCTTCATATATTAGCTTAGAATGCTTTTGCACTAAAATGATAGAGCTGAGTCCTTGAGATACAGTTGAGTACTTGTAACAAGAGCAAAGTGAAAGGAAAGAATCCAACACAGAGTCCACGTTCTAGGATTAACCTGTTACTGATACCAGACCCATCCTTACATTCAAGCAAGTGACAGTACAACATCAGGAAAATGTCATCTCTGTTTCAGATGTTTTTGTTTTATAAGAAATGTTACAAGGACAGGTAGTCTACCACTTGTGGATGGTGTTGCTTCCCTATCCAAGCCTGAATTCAGATCACACATATAGAATATAGCCCCTCTATCCCAAACCTTCACTGCCTTCAGAGCACATCTCTACCTTCACATGGCAGTGAATCTATCAACTAATTGATGCTGCCCCCCAAAATCTCTTTGAACGAGGTACTACTCTCCACTTGCATCCCAAGAGGCTTTCTCAAAGCTATTGGCCTGCTCATCTTTTGCTTTATCTTTCAATGGTGCAGCACTTATCCTCCCCGACTTCTGACCTAACCACCAGCTCTGAAGCACCAGCTCTTGGCTGTAATATATACACACAGGGAAACACATACAATAATCACAGAAGAAAGCAGCTGAGATGGGCAGGAAACATCTTTCAAATACAAATATTAGTGGTGCTAAATAAATGTTAAAAGACTACTGCTTAACAGGACTTGGAGCAACGAAGCTGGAACTGACCTGGAAGCCACCTCCTTGAAGGCTAGCTCTCACAGTTTTGACAGACACTATACAAGCTGCTAAGGGAGAACATCAATTGATGGTCCAACTCCAGTTTTTTTAAGGCCTAATAACCACAACAATGACCAGCACAGCAAACTACATTGGGACAGTGTGGCACTTTTATTGGTGGTAATCAACAGCTACCTAATTGGACTTAAAGCCCACTCAGTGGGAGGGAACTCATGTGCGGTAATGTAAACATAGCCAAATACACACGTCTGGAGAGGTCAGAAATCTTGAAGAAAATCCCAAGGCTGTCACATCTCTAGACAAATGTAATTTCTTGCTATATGCTTAATATGAATTCTTATATTTGCAGACAAGTGTGCCAGTCACCACCCATCAAAGAAGCATCTTTTGCAACAGACGAAGGCTACTACAGAGTTCCACAACTGGTCACACACAGAGAATAAGTGTCTGTGAAATGTCCAGCCCTAAGTGACACATCTACAATGGAACCTCTATACCTAAGGTTCGTGAAACATAATGGAACAAGGGGTAGAGAGAACACTAATGCATCTCTCAACTCTCATCACAGAAGTACCCTCATGCCACAGAGGGCCAGGAACACAAAAGGCCAAAAGTGGCCAAAGCATAGAGAATAAGATTTTGCAGAGTGTGAGAGTGTGGGTTCTTCGATAGGATTCTTTTTTTTTTTTTTATGTGTATGTGTATATTGCCTGCATGTAGGTAAGTGCACCCACGTCGTGCAATGCCCATGGAAGACAGAAGAGGCTGTCGGATCCCCTGGAACTGGAGTTACAGATAGTTGTTAGCTGCCATGTGGGTGCTCGGATTCGAACCTGGGTCTTCTGCAAGAACAGTTGGTGTTCTTAACCACTGAGAAATCTCTCCATCCCCTTGGATAGGATTCTTATATTAAACTTCACCCACCCAGGGTTCAGGGACCATTCAGAAGAGGGGACAGAATAATTGTAAAAGTAAAGGGAGGAGGTGTATGACCATATGAGCACAGAGTCCTACAAGCTCCTGGGACCTTGCTCCTATGAACTTACAGCATTGTTGACAGCATATACAAGACCCATACAAACTCAGCAGACAAAAACCCAGCATAAAACTGGGGAAATGGGCAGCAGGCCCCAATCTCAGCCAAAGAACTATTGGCAGTTGATCAATGCTGGGTGAGGGAGAGCTGATCTTCTTAAAAGGAAGAACTCTAGATAGGCTGACTAGACCCCAGTGGATGAACTTGTACTGAGGGAAGTCTGGGTACACTAATTTGACTTGATAGGCCTTAACATAAATGACAGAGTGCATGAAATCTAGTGGGGGATGAGCTATGAGAGGGTGTGGATGGGAGAGGGGGTATTAAGATGTTTTGTATGAAATACACAAAAATTCAATTTAAAATCATACAAAAGAAAAAAGGAAAAAAGACTTACTGTCCAGCTTTGCACATTAGGAAAACAGAACTAATCTTTTTGGGAACTCAAGAGCTACTTAGGTAAAAAGTTAGAAGATATCTTCCTTCATAAGGAACTCAGCCCTGCTCTATGGCAGTCCACAAAAGTAAGCAAAGCTCTAAAACAGCTAAGACATGCCTGTTCTTTTCTCTTTACCTGCACTGCATGACCTCTGACCATTGGGACTTAAGACTCAGGGCTCACACACACATGTACCAAACCACCTAATAGGACATTCCCAAACTGAACAGACAGGGCCAGCATTGACCCAATGTTAGGAATTTGGAAGAAGGCCATATACATGAAAGGAGGAGAAAACAAACCTCAAAGGCTTCTTTGGGAGGCAGGAAACCTCCCTCGCTCAGGCAAGCAGTGAGCCTTTGTGAAGAGAGACAGCAGCAGAAGGCACGGGAGCCCATGTATGTTCCCACTGCTAAAAGACATGGTGCATGGGGAGACACAAAAGCCTTATCTGGCCTTTTCTCTTACTTCAGAGAAAGAAAAGAGATGCCATTCTTGCAGTCTGGGTAAGAGTACCGTCATAGAACAAGGATTTCTAATCAGCTTTTCCTCATCAGAAGCCATATTAAACTCCCTAAATGAAATGCCTAGAACCCTAATATATTACCCAGCAAGGGCAGGGTTCTCTATGGTGTTTCTACTGACACAGAACAGTTAATGTTCTGTCTTTTGAATATCTTTAATCTCTAAATATATTTAAATGCTGCTGTGCCAAATTTGTTGAAGTCACTTTGGATGGTGGGAACAGGGAAAAGTCCATCAGTTTCAATTCTGATATAGGAAAAAAATACATAGTGACCCAGACAGAGTATGTACACTACCTTACACTGACTACCGATTAAACTTTCTGGATGGCCAGACAGACAAGTAAGTCAAGGCGGATTTAAACCTCGTTTGACTCTATCTGTTAAAAGGAACTATCTATAACAATTACTAGAACATGACCAAACAACAGTGTTGTAACAATCAAGCAAGTTATCATTTGCAAATAAATTCTTTGTAATTAAGCCATGTGCTCTTTATAAAGGGAATTGAGTGGGCGAGTTAAAAAGCTAAAACACATTCTTAGGCCATGGGAAATGCACGCAAATGCTTTTTGACTAAGCTCAAGGTTTTTAAGTTTATTGTTTATTTCCTCAGCTCGCATGGCCCTGTCCACTGTATAGAAAGGATGAGCAGGGTTTCTAGCTGATAGTTACCATGACTGAAGAGCTATTCACTAGTTTCCCAAAGTTATAAAGGCCTTAAGAAATTTTGTGGCAAAGGTTAAGCTGTAATTTTGTCTTCTACTAACTGTGAAGTTCTCCTAACTTCTTCCCTAAATAATACATGCAAATGACAAATGCATGCAAATGTACAAAGGCATTATGTACAGGACAGTGACACTTGGAAAACATTCTTCAGAGGTCTCCACAAAGTCTATTACCATTTTCAATTAAAGGCAAGTACTTACTTCTGGGTTCCCGGGGTCCATCCACTGTAACTTTAATAGCTCTGTGATAAGTGGCTACTTGGGGAGGATTTGTGAAGACCGTTATAGTCAAGGTGAAACTCTTGCCTGTAGAGATAAGAGGAAAAAATATGGAGTGACTAGAAATGATGGTACTGATGAGCCTACAGTAATACAGTTGTCCAAATTTCGTTGCTGCATCTCTGTGGAGGCAACCAAACAGGAATTCTCACTAACTAGAAAACCCCTGATGGCCACTTGAGAATGTTTCTAAACTCAGTCTGGATTGAAATCACCATCTTCCCTGCCCTACTGTGTATGCAAGAAGGCTCCAGTTCCCAAGATCTCCTCAGTAGCAAGAGCTCTAGTGAAAACAAAACCCCCAGTACACTTGAAGAGGGTTCTCTTTCTATTTTCTCCAACATCAGGAACACATCCAAGCAGAGACAATTTTAGAAGTCTTTATTTAGGAATGGGTCATGACCTCGTGGGAGAACAATAGTAAATCATTGTTGATGATGTTATTTACTTCACATGGTCTTAGCATTTCATTTGCTTAAATAAACTGCAATAAGAAGATGAAAGGGGGATGTTCTTATGGGAATCATTTTAACAGGAGCCCATGTCTCCTGTTCTAGCCTTAATGTGCCTGTGGTATGATTTCATCATTACTGGAATAAAGTTTTTCGCCTCCCTGCTCACCCCTCCGTAACATATATCTTGTTGCTGAATCTTGAAGGAACTCCCTGACAGTGACTTACTTTCTGCTAAACGAACATGACACCTCTCAATACAGACATGAAATTTTACTTTTTGAAGAGATTCTCTTTAAAGATATGTTACATCTGATGCTTTAAATTAATGAGCTCAAAGTGATGAATAATGGGGAGGGAGCAGGACAGGGAAAAGTTCCATAGCAGATCTGAATGTCTGCCTTCCCCTGAAGATACTGCTCTCTGTTATACAAACTCACTGACAGTTGTAATCAGTTAGATTTGCAACGGTTAGTCATGTCAGATAGTCAAAACTGCAAACTGTTACAAGACAGGAAAAGGTGGGCGTGAAACAGTGACTCAATAAAACATTCAGCAATCTGAAGCCAGAGTGCGCATTAAGTGTGCTCCTGTAAGAGATAAAAAAAAAGCTCATTTTGTTTTGCTTTGTTTTTTTTTTTTTTTTTTTTTTTGCTTTTACTGAAAGCTGAAAGTATTAAATCAAAACACAAATCTTAGACAATATGTAGCAATGTGAAGTTTAATGCAATCTTTTCATAGCTTAATATGGAACAGGTCATGTGCAAAGCTTAATGGAGAACAGGTCTTTGGCTGTCAAGTCTACTGAATGGGTTTTCTTTTCAAACCAGACCATATAAGTTCCTAAAATCTGTTTAAGACACACATCATTTGTTACTGAGTGTATATAGTCTTAAGACTTCTGTGCTATGCCTTTCCATGGCCAAGAAGTTAAGAAAGGAAGAAAATCAAGAAAACCAGGACTATGGGAAGGGGTTGAGTTGAAAAAGATTAATATTGATTAGAAATCTATTAAGCTCCAGCCACATCAATCTCATTATCTCACTTACTCTTTCACAGTTAGCTGCATCATCATTCCAATTCACAAATGATGAAGGCTTCACATAGAGAAGCTTAGTAATTTACCCCTGGCCACACAATTCGAAAATAGGAAAAATCAGAGTCTGAACTTAAACTTTTCTGATAAATGCAACTGGTTGAGGATATAGAGCTTACCTAGCATGTATAAGACCCTGGGTTCAATCTCTAGCACCAAAAGGAGGAAGAAAAGAGGGGAAAGGTGAGAGAGGGAGGGAAAGGGAGGAAGGAAGAAGGGGAGAAAAGAAAAATAAAATCAATGATTTTCCTGTCATTTTGCCTCAGAATACCAAAAAAATAGGTAATTGACTTAATAGATGTGTCCCACTTAGCTCTCTGTGCCCAAGAAATAATAAATATAAGTGGATTAATGTAATATCTTGGCCAGATGATGAAATTATATATTTTAAGTATCATTGATGCATCACATTTTATGCACTAAATATTAGATATTAGATATTACATGGATTTAAGTAATTTAATTTATTACAGAACAGAAGATTTGCTATAAACATTAACATTGGCCAGAAGGAAAAGACGGCCAGAAGTCTAAAGTAGTCCCAGAAAACCGAAAGTCTACAGACATGAAAGGTGAGTGGGGGTCCAGATTAAGACCTCAAATTCATGGCTGAATCTCTGGATTAAAAGTTAATTTACCTTAAGACATTAAAAAATGAAATCAGTGGCCCACAGACTCCGGATTACATTTTTATACTACATTTACAGTGGCTCCAGTGCCTGTGGTCAGAAGACAGTATCCCTGGCAGTTGTTTTAATAAATCAAGGATGCTCATTTGTCAGACCTCCTAGTGATAATGTCCATGAATTTCTTGAAACTGCATTTGGAAATGCTTCCATTTCAAACCTTTACAACCTGCTTAAGATACTGACTTATCTGTGCTCCTCCCAAAGTCAGAGAAATGCATCATACAGTAACAAAAGTCAGATACAAATTCACCCCTCAAACATAAGCCTCTAAATGCTCAGAGAAGAACCAGTTTTCCCTTAAGAACTTCCTTTAAAAAGAGGTGGAGCAGGGAAGGAACCATCATCTTCCAAAACCAATTTCTGAGACTCAAGATGTACCTTAATGACTAAAACAAAAATGGAAGAGGCTCCTTACAGTTTTGGTTAGACTTGCAGAAAAAGCTTGTGTGCAATGTTGAAGAAACTTCCAGAAACTATGACCCAACTCACTAATTAGTTCTTCATTTTCTAATAATATATTTCCTGAGTCAAATATTTATATGGGCATTCATGGTTTCCCTAATTTAAATATATATATATATATATACTTTCCAAATCCCACTTTCTAAAGGGATCAGTGGTGTATGGATCCAGGACTACATTTTTAACAGTGGCTCCAATAGCTGTTGCTGAAAAAGTTACTATCCATGGATGATCCACTAATGGAAGACTGATGAGTAAAAAAATCTTACTTGGACTGAGAAGATGGCTCAGAGGGTGAAGTGCTTGCTGTGCAAACGTGAGAACCGAAGCTCAGATCCCCAACACCCACATAAAAAGCAGGGCATGGCAATGTGTGTCTGTAACCCCAGCATTGGAGGGTGAAGACAGGTGGATCCTGAGGACTCAGTGGCTACCCAGTCTAGTTGAAACAGTAAACTGCATGAGAGACCCTGTCTCAGAAAAATAAGGTAGAGGAAAGATTGAAGAAAACATCTCAACATCAAGCTCTGGTCTCTACATGCTCCTACCCAGGTGAGTGCACACACACACACACACACACACACACACACACACACACACCATGAAATCCTACTTAGGGATAACTTATTATATCAGCTACAGCTTCATCTAGGAACTAGTTCTGCAATATAACTCAAAGTCATATAGTTTCTTAGATAAATATAGGAAACTGTTACTGAGAGGCAATTCCAACTTAGCCTTAGAGGCTGCCAGAAATAGCCAGGAGGGATAGACTGTAAGCAGGACTGTATCTTAAATTGGCAAAACACCATGTTTTGTATATTATAAATGCTTTAAAAGTCTTGTAAATTAAAAGCAGCATGCTTGATGTCAAAAGAAAGGAAGCACACCAAAAAAAATTAAAAGTTAAAGTCACTTTAAACACTTCTGTTTAAAATATAAGGAGAAATAAAGGAAGATACAATTAAAAACCATAACAACGCAAGCTTTACTGATGATCTGCTTTCATCTTGGGAATTTTTGAAAGCTGTGATCCTAAGAGAATCTATAAAGCAAAAGTCAAAGTGACATGACTGCTTTATAAATCGAAGACCATTTTTCAATTCCTGAGAATTTGTGTTTCTACAAGTGAAAAAGGTTTTTAAAAAGTGTAATATTTGTGGAACTTGTTTTCTTTTTTCTTTTTTCTTTTTTTTTTGTTTTTTAACACTATTGAAGACAGAAATTTTGTTAAGCTGGGAAAGAAAATACGATGGACGCAGCATGTTGACAAGAAGTAGGGACTTAAGAGATACAAAGAGGTGTGAAAGTCAAAGAGGATGCTGGAGAGTCTGTTGTAAAAGCAGGTCAGGTACAAACCATACAGGGGCAGGTTAAAAGGTTTCCTGCCACTGAAAAACTGACTCATTTTTGCAAAAGTGCTGTCTCTTATCGAAGTTCTCTGTCCTTTTCTCTTTCCATTTCAACTTAACCTTACTGTTTCCTTTCATTCAGAGTAATTCAGTGATATAAAATCTATTATTAGTGATAAATCAATTTTTCTCTCTCCCCACTCACTGCCCTGCCCCCCCAATCTAAGTCTCGAAGACAAGTCTGGACCAATTTCTCCATCCTGCCTCTGGCAGCAGACTGGGGCATTTCAGATCCTCCACCAAGTCCCGGCTGCTTCAAAGGAAAAATCCTACTTTCTTCAGTTAAGATCATAAGAAATATAGGGGGAGGGGGTCAGCTCTGTTTGGACATAATTACACTTCATCAAAAGAAGCTTTCTTCATCTTCCATGCGTGAAAAGTCTGCAAGCAGTTAAGTCTGTCTTTTTTTTTTAAATATAAAAATTGCTATTTGGGAAACCAGCCAAAACTCAGAAAGCCAATATAGTAAAACAGTGCACACCCTTTGTTTCCCTTTGAAGTTTCTTAAATAAATATGTTGAGGGTTTACAAAGTACACTATCACTCTGCCATAGTTTCTAGTCAAATTGATCAGAAAAAATGTTGTGCAGCATCTATATAATACAAAACACAATAAATGAAAACACAAACTTGGGTCTACAAAATAAAATTAAGGGTAACACCACATTCTTTAAATACTAAAATTCACTGCTTTAGTTGAGGTAATATAAGAAGAAAGATGCAATTTAGAACATACAGGTAAACCATTATGTTTATCTTTTTTTTTTTCAGCAGGAAAAAGGAGAAACTTTAACTGTACTGTGGGCCTGTATCAGTAACTAAGAAACAAAGAAGCAATGAATGAATATGCCAATCAGTCAATAGAGATACAGGATGCGTCTTCCTTTTCTTGTAATGAAGGAACACTAAGCCTGATACAGAGATAAACTCTTTAGTTTTGTTTCTATCAGAGGCTCTGTGACTCGTTTTAGTTCAAACAGCCTTTCAGTGACAGTATCTCATTAGCATGCATCATTTTTTCTTCTTAAGTTAAAAAGCACAACTTCTTGGCCCTGTTCCTAGAAAGTAAACTAAAACTACTCATCGGAAACAGCTTTGCTTGAATTTCCCTTATCAAGTTTTTACAATGGTAATAATTTGACATATGATCCAAACTAGAGAGCAATTATTAGACATAGTTTAAAAACTGGTGCTTCCCATTTCCTGACTCAAACCTGGGCTACAGAGAAGCCAATAGGCTTCATAATTCCATTTCACTTCCGTTCTAACCGGGTCTACATGTTTTTCTCTTCCTAATGTATTACTTAAAATGGAAATATGAAATTCAATAACTCAAATAAGCATAATACTTCTAAACAGGTGAATGAGTAGTAAAAGTCTTTCTGGAGAATAAATAAAAAGCAAAGTATTGGCCTCCTTAGAGACACTATTAAAAAATACAAGTCATTTTTGAAATAATGATAGAAACTCTTAAGAAGGATTGTTTCCTGTTTTGTGATCTTTCTAAGGATTCCTGATGTCTAAATATGGATTCAGGTGACAGAAGTCCTTAAACGCTGCAAACATGGAAGTATTGGAATCCTGATCATCCATTTGCCTAGGCAATTTTATGTAGTCATTCTAATGAAAGTAAAACATTATTCATTTATTCAAATGAAAAGCCTTGGGTGGCCCACGCCTTTGATCCCAGCAGAGGCAAAGGCAGGAGAATATCTGTGAGTTTGAGGTCAGTCTGGTCTATATAGTGAACTACCAGACCAACAAGGTCTGTATAGTGCGACCGTGTCTATAAAGTAAAAAGCCTTCTGTTAAATAAAAAATGTGATTTTTCAGGTCTGGAGAGATGGAGAGATGGCTGAGCGGTTAAGAGCACTGGCTGCTCTTGCAGAAGACTAGGGTTCGAATCCTAGCACTCACATAGCAGCTAACAACTATCCATAACTCCAGTTCCAAGGGATCCGATGCCCCCTTTTGACCTCCATGGGCATTGCACAATACAGGTGAACTTACACATATTCAGTCAGGTAACACACTCAAACAAATAAAAATAATAAACTATTTTAAGCATGATTTTAATAGATTCTTATTGTGAGGATAAAGTAAATCATACAGAGGTAACACATTGATAAGGGAAGACATTATGCAAGTTGTCCTTATTTCAACTTAGAGCAAAGCTGATATCAGGAAATGGAGCCAATGCAATATTTTTCCTTTCCCCATTGCCGCTTAATTTACTCAAGTTACGTGACTCCTTATAATTCATAACTTGATCCTCCAAGTGTTCTTTTCTACCTTATATGCTTACAGCCAGTGAAAATGGGAGCAGCTCTCCTGAAAAAGTTGTTCAATATCATAAAACAAAGGAAATACTTAGGAAGACACTCAACTGCATCTGGATTTATTTAAACAAAATCCCCAGTAATTCTATGTCAGAAAAAGAAGGTGCTGACTTGTGCACAGACGAGTCTGCATTGCATGAGAGGATTCTAATGTGTCTACTCCATTATCATAATCAGAGACCTACCTCGTCCACTCCGGCCCACAAATCTCAGATCGTTGAACCTTGCTACTTGGTTTTTCATAACAGCAGAGGCATTTCGGAGTTCAGCAGAATAGTTCTCATCGTTCCCTGCCATGACAGTAACCACAGTTCCATCTGGGACCTCTCCGAGGGCTACCACCTACATAAAACAGGAAACACAGCAGCAATAATGGCACATCAGAAACACTTAAGAACTGAAAATACATGCTCATTGTAAATGGCGTCTTATCAGGACTCAGTGCTCTGCTCCAGTGGTGGCAGACCAGGAATGAAGCCTCTGTTTGGGGGCTATGATGCCATTTCAAATACACCAATGTTTCAAGTTCACCTATTTTGAAAATAGGCAAAGTTTTCCTTTTATTTATTGTTGGATTTTTCACAGAGTATATGTACATTTTTATTAAATCCCCATGTTAGACTGTCCATGGGAATTATACCACAGAAAGAAGGCTGATGCCACAGCTGCAAATTGCATCATATGGATTAAGACATCTCCTGTCTACAGCCCCAAGAACCTTGAGGAGTGGTCTCAAATAAGATCCCAGGCTAAAATAAAAGAGTATCTACCTATGGGCTGGGGACTTGGCTCATTGAGTAAGATACTTGCTGTGAAAGCTGTATAAGCATAAGGACCTGAGTTTGGATCCCCAAAACCCACGTAAAAAGTCAGGCATAGAGGCTTGCACCTGCAACCCCAGTGCTAAGGAGTTGAGAAAGGTGGATCTCAGAGGCCTTGTTGGCTAGCTGGCTTAGCCAATCAGCAAGTTTCAAGAGGGCAGGCAAGATGGCTCAGTGAGTTAAGGCACTTGCCATCAAGTCTGACAACCTGAGCTTGATCCACGGTACCCACATGGCAGAGGAAGATAACTGATTCTGGCAAGTTGTCCTCTGATCACATGTGTGCTATGGCATGCAGGTGCACACAAATAAATAAATGAATAAATAAATAAATAATAAATAAATAAATAATAAACGTAAGGTGGAAAGCAATTGAGGGAAACATCTGAGCATCAACCTCCAGCCTCCATATGTTCAGACAGGTGCACACACATTCAGCACATATATACATGCATATACAGTGCCTAGTCAGCTCTATGGAAAAAGATTTTTAGATGAAACTTGGAGTTCCTCAATAAAACACTGGATATGGGTTCTAGGGGTATCCTACAAGTCACCTCCTTACTTTGGGCTCTATGGTCCTCCTTTAATGACACTATGAATATTTGAAAGATATCTACACAGCTGTGGGGTCCAGTGGGATATTCAAAACCATCAAATAATTAGAGTCTAAGTACAGAATAAAAACCTATACCATGCTAAAAATGTTCATGACAAATGAACTACACTCAAGAAATGTGCCCTGGGCTGGGGAGACAGCTCAGTTGGTAAAGTACTTGCCTTGCAAGCATGATGACCAGAGTCAGAGTCTCAGAACCCACCTAAAAACCCCCTTATGATGATGATGGCATGCACCTGTAATCTGGGAATACAGAAAAAGGCAGATAACTGGAACTCACTAGCCAGCCATCCTACCCTCATCGGCAAGTCCTAGGTCCCAAGTGAGAAGATGCTGACTCAAAAACCAAGATGGGCAGTTCCTGCAGACCAACACTTAGAGTTGATCCCTGGCCTCCATACACACATACATGCCCACCAGCACACAAATGGGCACACACATACACCCCCCCATACACAAACCTACATGCACACAGAGAAATGTACACTTATCCTCTCCACACTTCTATGTTGTTCCTTCTGCCATCTTTTTTTTTTTTTTTTTTTTTTTTTTTTTTTTTTATCCCCACTTCTATGTTTTTCCTTTTTCCTTTTTTTTTTTTTTTTTTTTTTGGTCTTTTTGAGACAGGGTCTCCCTGTAGCTCCAGTTGCCTGGAACTCACTCTGTAGACCAGGCTGGCCTCGAACTCACAGAGATCCGCCTGCCTCTGCTTCCCTGAGTGCTGGGATTACTGGGATTAAAGATGTGCGCCACCACACCCGGCCCTTCTGCCATCTTAATGCCACATTTGCCCCTTCGTCTTCAACAGTTAATCTGAAGAACAGAAATCACACTTTACCCCGGATTAGCTGTGTACCTTGAATTCATGTAGAACCTTGGTGAGAGAAGACGGGCCATGGGAAACCATCCTGGTCATGCATAAAACATTCTATTTTCAATCCACTACCAACATCCAGGGCCTCAGTGATGGTCTTTCCTCTCCATTATGCCCAGGATTCTCCATGCAGTTTTGGCCAGTTCATGTAGTGCCCAGGCACCTTGAGGTTACTCAGCAATGGCTTGGGCTAAAGTAGCTGCTCTTCCAATAGCGCCCCGGTACACTACTATCTACTGTACATCCCACTTTGTCTTTTCCCACTTCTGGTGTTACACTCTCATTTGTCAAAATTTCCAAAAGACAAAATGTAGACATTTAATTGCATGTTCCAAATATCCATGGTACCTACTTTCCTTAAAACATGTTTCCTTTTTTCTTGATTATTTTTATTTCATGTGTATGAGTGTATTGCCTGCATGTAGGTTAAGTGCACCCATGCCATGCAATGGCCATGGAGGTCAGAAAGGGGTGTCAGATTCCCCTGGAACTGTAGTTAGAGACAGTTGTTAGTCACCATGTTGGTGCTGGGAATCAAACCCAGGTCCTCTGCAAGAGCAGCCAGTGCTCCAGCCCCCAAACATATTTCTTATATGGTGATAAAACAGATACCGTATTTTAGGACTGAATTATCCTGTCCGGGACCCCTATCCCAAGGTCTCCACTATATCCTCTCCTTCAGCCAAGAAAACAATCAGACAAACAAACAAACAAAACTTTCTCAATATTTTTGTCAGCCTTTCTTCACTCTTAGGTTGGTTCTCCATTTCTTCCACTTTATTTAATTCAAAATCAAAAAGCTTTCCTTAAACTATAAGATCTACCACAGTAGCCCACTGTATCTAGACACTCTCAGTTTATTGCATATAAATTAATGATCTATCAAGTGATTTAATAAATTAGCCCAAAGTTGATGGAATGGCCCTTATCTCATCTGGCTTGTTCACCACTGTGTATGTCCAGCTCGTAAAACAGTGCCTGCCACATTAGTTAAGTGCTCGATAATATTTTTTAAATAGAGGCTAGGAAGATGGCTCAGTGGGTAAAGCATTTGCTGTGCAAGTATGAGGACCCATGTTTCAACGTTCCCAGAACCTACATAAAAGCCAGGCACAGTAGGACTCGTGTCTATAACCCTAATACCTCTACTGGGAGATGGGCTGAGAGCTGGAGAGAGGGGCATCCCTGGAAACTCAGGAGCCATCTAGCCTGGCCTGTGCAGGGGCCAACTCAAAGAAACACCACCTCCAACAAAGTGGAAGACAAGGACCAGCATTCCAGGCTGTTCTCTGACCTCCACATGCATGCTATGGCATGTGCACACCTGCACTCACACACAGGAACACACACACACATACACACACACACACACACAATTAAATAGTCATATAACAAGTAAATGAAAGCACTCCATAAAGAGTACTATGCACGACAGGCAGAAGTCTGTGGGCTACCAGCTAAAATGTGGAAAGAACCAGTTAAAGGATGAGTCAGCATCCCTCACCAACTGCAGTGTGGCTGTGCTGCAGACTGCTGTTACCTGGGGTGTACAATTATTCTCAATCTGAGAAGTCTCCAAGGTCAAGAGCAAATCCCTTGAGAATAAGACTTCCTCCCTGCAACTTTGATCTAGTAACTTCAGGGGCTATTGAAACAGCAAAGTCCCCACTCCTGAAAGGGCTGATGTAGTTCTCAAAGTCACAATGCCAAAAAATGTGCACATTTGAAAATATTGAAATAATGGACTATGTCTGCCAGGATTCATTTGACTGTTGAGACATTTTGCACACTCAGCAGATTGTGTCTTAACACCTGCTGCCTGGATTTCTATGTCAAAATAAATATGAATAAAGGTGAGAGAAAAGTTCTAATGTTTTAGAAGTTAATTAATGCACTAAAAATCAAGAAGCTCCACCCTTCTTTCCCTACTTTCCCTACATATCTACTATGACCTTATACAAATCATTTCATGTTTGGGAACCACAGTTCTCCGATATAAATTGAAAATATATTTTTTAAGTCTGTAAAAAGTAGAACATGCTATATACAAAGTGTAATGATAATGCTTTGCTTTTTGGTACGACAAAGAGAGTTAACTGTGTTCTGTTCCAAATCTGCTGCTGCTTAATACAGGCTTTTACTTAAAAGCATCCTTGAAGAATGCAGGGGAATATGTGACTTTTTGTGTCCTCGAATGTTCTCCAGTGTTGAAAGATAAAGGATGGTTGCTTGTGGGTTTCATTTGAGCCATGAAATAATTCAGAAAAAAATTAATGAAATCTGCCCCAATATAAAGGTTTCCAAGAGCTATGGGACATTATTATTTTACTGCATATTTTTAACATAATGGACCTTTTTTTAGTTAGAAGAAAAGGAAAATTGATTCAATATGGGAAAATACGAAAGAAGAGATTCCTAAGAGTGAAATGCATAAATCCATTTTGCCTAAACAGCATAATGATGATCAAATTAAATATTGGTATATTCTGCATACTGTATTTAACAACAGAGACAGACCATCACAAGTTGTGCATGTCGTCTACAAGGCTTAGAATTGGGCCTGACGAAAATGCTGACATAATACAGTGACAACCTTTCTGTTGCTGCCAAATTCCAGCTCAATGGCTAAAATACATTGCTTTTTCTACTAGTAGTTCTACCAGACCAAACCAATGTTTGTCTGAAGGAGGGTATATGTGTTGGAAGAGGAAGCACTGTATTTAACTTTATATCAATCAAAAGTATAATTACATGTTTGAGAAGTTGTTTTTTTTTTTAAGTAACTGTCTGAAGTTAGAAAGTTTCTCCTGGATATTCTCAACCTTGTTTAGCTAAAACCAAAGTGAAGAGATTTTACACGTTTCATCTGTACCAAAGCCAAGAAATGGAAAAACATTTTAAGGGGTAGAAGCACAGTGGTTGTTGTTGTTGTTGTTTTTAATCACTAACTGTTTAATTGTAAGCACAAATTGAATATTTTTTCCATGCTACCCAATACGAAGTACTATTATGCAAAGAAGAATTTGTGATGAGACCATAATAATTACATTTCTAGGTGTTCTTAAAATATAAAATGTACAAATTCGAGAAAATCATGGGAAAGGGAGAAGTTATTTTCTGTTCTGACATTCTAGAATTGAGAAAGAAGTTCCTTTATTTAGTGCACCTCACTGTAACCAACATTTAAATCACATGGCCTGTAACATACAGAAAGAAGTTAAAGGCCATTTAATTAGAGTGATGCTGTTGAAATTTTCTCTGAGACCCATTAGGACTAAATCTGTGACTCACTCTGAAAGAGGAGCGATGGAGAATTTAACTTAGACTTTCATTCCTGTGGTCTTAGAATATTGGAAGTAAAAATTGCCCATGACATTTCTGTAGACAGATGCCTAGTCTTAACTAATCAGTTACTCTGACAGCTCAACCTTATTTGGCATGTTGCACTTCAGGTAAAATGAAATATAATTATTTTCCAAGATAGAATTTGATTAGCTCTTTCTTTGTAATAAAAAGAGAAGTAAATCAGTAGTTGTAAGGGGCAAAAAAAATATTACTCTTTAAGTAAACTATGGAAGAGTCTCAACAAATACTACAATGAATTCTTAGAACTTAACCCAGAAAAGCTTCCTTAACCCAGGAAAAAGCCAATTGAATTGTACAAGAAAAATAAATACAATATATTATTTCAAAATTTTTTCAACATATGTCAAATGGAAATGTTGATGAAAATTCTTTCAGTTCAATCCAGCAATTTACGTGCCATGTATCAAGAGGGCTTAGCTGGTCTAACAATGGCTGTTCTAGAACTCTGAAATGAGGAAGATAAAGATGCCAGGGAAGAAAAATATAATCAAAGTATCTGCAATATCTTTTCTCAAATATAAATTTCCATCATTAAAAAAAATTTCTGTCTAAAATAGTGTGTTCTAACATAGTAACATGTTTTATATTCAGTCCCATAATGGTTAGCTTTAAGTAAGTTTTACAAAAACGGATTTGTCTTCATACAACCTGAATGATTATGATTGACAAAACAGTTTGTATTGGGCTTAATAAGGATTTGACAAGCTTAATGATATCTTTCCTTCTAAAGGTATAATTAGATTTTAAAAGATACAAACAAAATCTAATGAAACAGGGAAAATGTAACTCACTAACATCAGGTATTTTTATAAGTTGCAAACTTGTTTCTAAAGAGAGAAAAATGGCCGATGATATTAAAAAGTCATTCTCAAATAGAAATTGCTCTATCATTTTGAAACCCTCTTTTCATAAACACTGAAAGGTATTATTAAAGATAGAAAATAAACTGAGTACTAGATACTCGATCTAAGTATGCTGTTTTCTTTAACTTTGCCAGAAAAACAGTCTAGTGTTCGCTAACTTAAAACAGTACTATAGGCCTACACTATTTTAGTTTTAAAACATACATCTGGACTTTAACATGTCTGCATAGTGTTTCAGCTTGAAGTTATTTAAAACAACTTAGTTATGAACCTTGAACACCAGCCTTCATAGTGAGATGCTGACAGACCCCTAACTCAAAGGATACTACTGGGTAAGGGTTGACAAGTTCTCTCTACTCTTTTCCTACCCAACCATCAACTAATGAGCTGAATTTGCAAACTGCTTTGTTGTTACTAGAATCATCTGTGACAGAAAGGGCCTAGCATCCTTTAATAGTAGGCCTTAACTATTTTAAGCTTTTAGTGAAATACACCTGAAAGAAATGTTAAAAATATTTACTTCCATTTCCTTGACACCTGGAAGGACTGAGTATTTCAAAACTACAGAACTTTGTTTAAAGTACAATGGTAATAAACAACTTTGAATAAAATATGCTAGTTGTTTTTGTATTTTCACATGTCACGGATCAATGAATTATGAACTCTCTGAAAATCTCCTAATGATATTACTTGAACAATACCAATATTGCTTGCTTATTAATATATTCCATTGTCAATATCATGCTGAGGTGCTATTTTAAATGGTCAAATATCAGAATAGTCCGCTGAATTTATTTCTCATTGCCTGCAGTGCCAAACTTGGCATCACAGACCTAAGATATGGGCTTACTAAAAATTGTATTGATCTGAATACTGGACTTCTTAACAATTGTGTCTCCCCCACTGTGTGTGTGTGTGTGTGTGTGTGTGTGTGTGTGTTAAAGGCATTACCTATCTGAAATCTACCTAACAACACTATAATTTATTTTGTACATGGCTCTGGATATGATAGCCAAATTGCTGTCACCACTTTTAAAATGGAGACTTCTTCGTATTATTTCTTCATTGCAGATGTATTTGATTATGTTGCCAGGGTATAGGAAGTCTATTGCTCTAGTGCTTTTATTCCCAAAGCTAGTTATTTTTAAAAGGTTGTTTTTACATCATTGCAAATTATAAAAGTTGCTGTCAAAATCTGAACATCCAAATTTCTGTTCATTTTTTTAAACAGAGAGACAAAACTATTGTGGGTGAGCCTCAACTGTCACTCAATTTTTTAATGCCTTTAAACAGGCAAGGTGATGGAAAAACAGAGTCTAGCTTCAGGCTAACTCAATTCATTGTTCAACTAATATGAATATAAATATTCAATATAATATGCCCTGTGTTATCAACAGTCTGTTTGCTGGTTAAAATAATGTACTTTATAGTTAGTATATTTAATAACAAAGCAATTTATTTCCAAAGTAGTTTTAGAAACTAGTTAAAAAAAACTAGCTACAAACTAGTTAGAAAATCCACATTAGCAATTACAACACCCAATAACAGCTCAAAATTAATAGTATTTCATCTTACACTAAAATCATTTCCCTTCAGAATGAACATTCATGTTCCAAATCAATTCAGCATTAAAAATGTGAGAGAACAATTCAAGACAGTTATATCCTAAACATGTTCAGCAGCAAAAGGGGTATAGAACAGCAAACACAGAAATAATAGAAGTAAGCACCCATCCTTAAATTTTTACATATGCTAATGTATGGCCTTGTATAGTCAAAATATCTACATACTTTTTTTCTATTTTTATTCAGGTTTGGAGGAGGACTTTTGTTTGGCTTTGGTTAAAATTATTTCCACCCTCACATAAGACTGATTAGAAAATTCTGGGCCCTTGGCTGATGAACATTGTAAAAGATATCACTTAGATGATCATTTCATTTTCTAAAATTCACCTACATTCTGATCTTTTCACATTACAAAGAAGAAAACATTAATCTACAAAATGGATGCTCTGTAAAAGGAGAAATGTGACGGTTTAAAAAAAAAAAAAACAACCACACAAGACCACTTCTTGAGCCAGCTGCAAAATGAAACTTGCCCTAGAATGCAACACCCCCTTTCCATAACAATCCATTCTGATTTCTGTCCTGATAGAAGACCAACAGAGATAACCAGCTCTAATTGACCTGGGCTCCCTCCTCTTCCCTGCCACCCCACCCACACATGGAATCTGAATTGGTGCGTGGGGTGGGGGGGTGACCAACAACTGGGAAATGCAAGGGGCCCGTGGGAGTTTGGCACCGGGGTCCACAAGGAAGGAACTGGCACAATTCCTCCCGTTGATCTACTTTCTTTTCTTTTTTTCTTTCTTTCTTTTCTTCTCTTCTTCTCTTCTCTTCTCTCTCTCTCTCTCTCTCTCTCTCTCTCTCTCTCTCTCTCTCTCTCTCTCCTTTCTTCCCAGCCACCCCCTTTCTTCCAAGGCCTTGCTTAACCTGTTCTTCACATATTTTGCCCTACCTAGAGCCAGGGGACCCAGGCCCACCCACTGGAGACACCTTTGGGGCTCATCTCCCGGGCTGGCTCACCACCCCCTTCATCCCTGGAATCTAAGCCAGCGAAAGTGGACAGCCCCGATTCCCCATCACCCCCAGCGCGCGCACTTCCCTGGTGGCTCCGCATCCTGCTAGGATGACCGGGGTACCCCAGAGGACATCATGGAGCTGCCTTGGGATATATAGCCAGAGACTTGGGACCCCACAACTTCAACCTGCTGCCGGCTGCGGGCGAGACTCCCACCGCTGCCAGTGCTGGAAAACTAACGGCCCCGAGGCCTGGCGGATAGAGGAAGCCGCGGGTCGTGCTCTGTGGTCCCCAAGCCTCGGGCTGGAGCCACTCATCGCCCTTCCCAGGGTGTGTGCAGTTTAAGGCCTCTCAAAACAACAATAAAGCAAATCACCTCGGTTTTCGCTCTGGCCAGCCGAAATTGTTCCACATTCCCTCATCCCAGGCGGAGCGAGGCGGCCGGAGCCCCATCCCTTTCCCGGGGTAGAGCCCGGCCGGCGCCTCCCGGCACTCAGTGGGTCGAGCGCCCCGGAGCAAGCAGAGACCCCGGCGGCCCCGCCTTCCTCCGGGTAACGGGAACCAGCGCCCGCCAAGCAGAGCGGGAAAGCAGGGGTCCTGTCTGCCCCGGACCCTACTGAGCACCCGCAATCCACGTGCTGCGGATGGCACCGCGCGTCTGGTCCCCAGCGGACACCCAGCTGGAGCCCGGGAGAGGCCCGAGGCCGGGACTGCTGAGCTCCAGCGGGCTAGGGAAGGGGACGCCAAGCCCAGCATAGCGGCTTGTGGCTTGGAGGGAACCGGGAAGGAGCGCGCGGAATCCCGGGGAGAGGCTACAGGGATGCCCCGGAGGAGGACGCAGCCTGAGTCCGGGAAAGGAATGCGGGATGCTGGCCCCTGGGGAAGGGGGCGGGGTGGAGCGAGTGGTGCACAGTGGGCACCTCGGGGCACCAAGCTAAGACAGGGGGTGGATTAGAACCCAGGCTGGGAGAGTTTTAGGATGGAGAACAAGCAAGGGGATCACCACTGGGGTCCCAGTGCCAGTGGGCACAGGTGAGAGCCAGGGATCCGTGCCTAGTGGCCGCCGCGGAGTACGCAAACCAGGGCTAGAGTCAGAGCTTGGGCTGAGGTCTTGGAGGGCACCCGGGGTCGGTGGACACGGAGACCGCTGCTGGCAGGTTTCACCAGGGCCCAGCCGGGGGCGGGAGGCGGCGGTAGCCTCTTACCTTGAAGGCCACGGGTAGGGTCTTATTGCACCGCCAATGTGAGGGCAGCACCGAGCACAGGAAGTTGGGGCTGTCGGTGCGGACCAGTTCGGCCGGGTGGTCGGCGATGATCTCCACCATGGTGCGGTTGTCGTGTGGCGGACGCAACCGGGGCACCGCAGCTGCAGCAGCTGCCGCCGCCGCCGCCGCCGCCGCCGCTGCCGCCGCCGCCGCCTCTTGTTGCTGCTGCTGCTGCTGCTGTTGCTGCTGCTGCTGCTGTTGCTGCTGCTGCTTGCTGCTGCTGCTGCTGCTGCTGTTGCTGTTGCGCAGCCACCACCGGGCTCACGTCGCTCATCTTGCCGGGCTGCAGGCTGCTGGAGGGGGGGCTGAAGCGCCGGCTGGTGCTCGGATCTACGGGAATACGCATCACAACAGCCACAAGTTAGCGAAGTGGCCGGGGGAGGGGGAGGAGGGTGGAAATGGGGGGCGAGGAGGAGGAAATTGAGGGGGTGGAGGCGAGACGGGGAGAAAGGGGATGGAGGTGACGGGGCTGAGGAGGTGAGAAATCAAGTTCCACGAAGCCGATTGCCGGGCGGAGTCTGTTGGGGGCCGGGCGGCGGGCGCTGGGCTCCGTCGGGTTGGCGGGTGGGGAGACCCGGGAGATGCAGATCTCTGTGCCCCGCAGGAGCCTTATGGCACCCCCGGCGGCGGTGGCGGCTGCAAGCGGGAGCGGGGGCGTGTTTGGCCGGCGGAGACAGGGGGACTTGAGTTTGCAGTTTGCACTAGGGTCCCTTGGGGCACCAAGTCCGGGGTGCGCGGGCGCCCCCTCCCCGTTCCGGTCCGGTGGTGGCGGTGGAGCTCAGCAGGTTCAGCTGCGCGTCCCGGCGACCCGCATCGCCCCGCCGCTACCCAGCTGCAGGCGTCCGCGCCGCCGCCCGCCGGGGCCACCTCCTCCTCGGCGGCGGCTGCGCGCTCGGTCCTCCAGCGGTGGCTGCCAGCCCGACTCCCGGCGCCGCTCCTTCCTTTCCCCTGCTCCTGTCGCCCTCTCACCGCCACCTCCTCGCATCCACTTCCCTCCTGCTCTTTGCAAAGTCCCTCGCGCTTCAATGTGCCAGGAGGTAAGTCTAGGGAGGGGGGTGCAGCGGAGCTCGCGGCTTCGGATCTGGAGAGCCTACGAATGGTAGCCGCTGCCGCCGCCCGCCGGCGGGGAGAAGGAGCCCTGCCCGCCGCGCTCGGCTGGAAGGGAGGCGGTCCCCACCTAGAGCATCGCCGCCGGGCGCGTCCTTCTGCTCCCCCCCACCACACCCCCCAGGACCAGGAACCCCCTCTCTCCGTCTAAGCACGCTGAAGCTGAGACTCTAGAAAGCCACGGGCTGATCCGACTGTCGATATTTTTTGTTATAACTTCAGGACAGGAGGAAGAAAAAATCTTGATTCTCTAAGCTGACTTCGCAACACTTTTCACCCTCCCCCCCCCGCCCCATCCTCTGCCCGAGAGGCTTGAGGAGGGGGTTGCAGGATTAGGGTTTGGGTTGGGTTCCGCCCCCCCTTAGATGACACCAAAAAATGGGACAGAAGGGCTTGTCAAAATACTTTGAGAAACTGAAGTCAATGCTGGACACTTTTTTTAATATACTAATTCTTGTCATTCCTAGAGAACAGGATGGGTTTTTTTTTTTTTTTAAGAACTGAAAAAAATGACAGTTTGGTAATTAAAATAAGTTGAAAAAAACGCTTGCTGAGAGGGAGTTTAAAAAACAGTGACTTTTTTTCTATAAATTTTCAATCTTTTTGTGAAGTCCATCCTGTGTCTCAGACTAAGTCTAGTCTTACATTTCTTCCTCGCCACTCCCAGGGGAGGGGGAATTAACATTTAAAAAAAAAAGTAAAAACTGCTTCAATGGTTATTTACTTATGTATTTATTTCCCGGTGTGGGTTTTTTTTTTTTTTTTTTTTTTTTTTTTTTTTTTTTTTTTTTTTAGAAGCCCCAAAATGTTGTGGTCGAGGGGATGAAGGCGCACGAAAAAAAGAGAGGCAGTTTTTACCTAAAATGTGGTTTTTGGAGGCTGGGATTTCTAATGATTAGGTTTTTGTGGTTTATATAGACACGACTCTGGCTAAGGCGATCATTACGCTGATGAGAGTCAGGGAAGCACGTGGGTGTCTCCGACCAGCCTCAAACTCTGAGCCTTCAAAACAAATCAGACGATGTGAGGCGCACGAAAAAAAGAGAGGCAGTTTTTACCTAAAATGTGGTTTTTGGAGGCTGGGATTTCTAATGATTAGGTTTTTGTGGTTTATATAGACACGACTCTGGCTAAGGCGATCATTACGCTGATGAGAGTCAGGGAAGCACGTGGGTGTCTCCGACCAGCCTCAAACTCTGAGCCTTCAAAACAAATCAGACGATGTGCGGCGCCCACAGAAGCCGGGAAATCCGCTGGAGGCTGCTGCTCCCCAAGAACCCGGCCACCTGGCCGGCTCACCTCTCCTCTCGCTCATTCAGTTGTTTTAAACCTTCCAAAGTTTGCAAAGAGAATCATTTGCCAAAGTTTCTATGATTCCTAGCAGGGAAGCAGACAGTCGTGACTTCGTGAAATCAATGAAAAATTGGTAGTCTGCCCCTTGGAGGATTAAGGGAGCGAGGTGGCTGGGTAATCTATCACTCACCTCCTGGTGTCTTATTTAAAGTTCTTCACGTAGCCAGTCATGAGTGCTTTTATTATTAGATGCAAACGCCTGGCGTGCTCTGGAAGCGACCTGTCAAGACCCTCCCTCCCGGTTTTAAAGTACTGTTGTGGCTTTCTGAGCCCGAGCGCTGGCAGGGGCCTGGAGAGGCGCCGGGAGCACCCGGGTCGCCAAAGAGTTGTCTTTGAGCGTCTCGAGGGTCTGGAGCCCACTGACAAGCACAAGGTAAACTTGGATCCCTGTGCTTGATTGAGTGACTTAGAGACCTGGATTTCCCAGCCTAAGAGATGTGCTGGGGACTAAGGGGTTCCCAGACCCGGGGAATGGATACGGGTGGAAGCGATGAGGTTGGAGGGACACTACTCTGTCCTTTATGTGTCTTTATTTTTTAATCTTACCTTTCTGCTTGTTCCACTCGCAACTACTCCTCCCCGTCCCTCTTTCCTTTCTCCTTTTCTATTTGCTCTCCTTCTCGCTGCTCCCCCAAATCCTCCCCCAACAGACAGGAGCCTCCTCGCTGCGCCTCTCCGGCTCCTGCGTCCTTTCCCTGGGCCCACTGCCACCGCAAAAAAGGCGACTCTGCACCAGCTGCTATGACGCCCGTTCCCCAACCTACTCCTCACAACTGGTGGCCTCCGCGCCCCCCGCACCCTGGGAACGCAAATCCCACTTCTCCTAACGCCCTAGAGGTGCAGGTTGTTGCTGAGCTGTCTCCTGTGAGAGCGACTTTTAATTATCTTTTTGGTCACAGGGGAGAGCTCTAACCCTGAGTACCGCAAGCCCTAGTCTCCCAGCCACAGGCTCCCGCCCAGGAAGGGAAGCCAGGCTTCTTTCCCCAGCAAAGAGAGAGCCTGCGTCTACTACCCACCTTCCTGACACGCGCGCACTGACAACCTGATACAGTTCATAAGCAGGAATTTGTTTAGTTGCACCACTATCCAACAGAGGTCTCTGACTCCTTTGCCTGGCTTTTTCTTAGGTGCTCAGGGACTGCAAAGGAGGGGAGGAGTTACAGGAAACGGATCGTTTCTGTAGTCAAAGTACATAGACATTCCTTCGGAGGTAGTATTTCTTCTTCTCTGGGTCTTGTCCTCCTCCCAGAAAATCCACAGAACAGGGAACTTCTAGAAATTGGCATGCACTGAGAAACAATCCGTATTGCAAACATACGATCTCAGAGCGTTTTCTACGGTCATTTGAATCTAAGAAATTATCTTGGGGACTTTTTCCTCTCCCTTGGGGCATCGCTATTTTGTCTTCTTTCATTTGGTAGGACATGCAGGCCTCAATAGTTAGGGATTTTTTTTTTAAGGGCAATTTAATCAATGGTGAGATTATTTATTTTAATTAATCATATCCGGTAATTCAGCTTTATAGCCTTCCTGGGCATCCTCCCTCCATTAAACATTTCAATGCAACTAATATAAGCAGCTCTTGGAAATTACTAGTTTTGGATCCCTTAAAATAGCCTACAGTTATTTATAATGTGGAAATGAAATTTTCCACTGAATGCCCTAACAACCGTTCAGGTATCTGGCACAGAGGATTTTCAGTCTCCTTTCAAAAATATACTTTTGCTGAACATTCACACTTTCGACTGGAACTGGTAGAGCCTGGAACTGATGATGTCTTGGCTCTGAGCACTAGGCTTCAAGTAGGAAGCATTTCTACAACTCCTCCATACACAAACCACTCTGGGTAGTAGGAGGTTTATTACATAGATGTATTTTCAGCTACAGTATGTTTGATTTCTTTCATTTAGATTTTCTTCTACAACAAAATGTTTTAAACATGGGCTAGGAATAAAGTTCATTCAGTAAAGTGTTTTTACACAAGTATGAGGACCTGAGTCCTAGCCACAGAACCCAAGTTTAAAAACAAAAAACAAAAAACAAAAAACAGGGCATGCTGGTATGTTTGAAATCTCTGTGCTGGGAAGGCAAGACAGGAAAATCCCTGGGACTTGTTGGCTAGTCAGCCTGGGCTACTCAGCAAGCTCCAGGTCAATGAAAGAAGTCTCAGAAAACAAGGTGGACCACACACCTGATAAAGGATATCCAAGGTGACCTCTGGCCTACACACACAGAGAGAGAGAGAGAGAGAGAGAGAGAGAGAGAGAGAGACTGGATTCTTCAGAAATGTTCATCTTTCCAGTTGCATGCTACAGCATAAAAAAGAACATATTTTTTTCCCTGAAGATTTGACCACTCTGAGAGATACAAGCCTAATTTCCCCCTCTATGTCCTTCAACATTTAATATAACTGTTTAATGGCAACACTTGGCAATTCTAACTTTCCAGATGGAAGAAAGTGTGATGTAAAACAGTCAAGTTTTGTATCCAAAGAACTGAACTCCCAAACTGGGAGCAGAACTCAGGCTTCTTCATTTGGTTTCCTACCCTAACCCCTCTCTATATATTTTATATACTTTTTTTTTTTCAAGAAGAAAAATAGGAGTCAGGCATGGTGGTATGTACCTTTGCCTTTAATCCCAGCACTCAGGAGGCAGAGGCAAGTAGATCTCTGTGAGATCCAGGCCAGCCTGGTCTACATAGTGAGTAGCAGGCCAGCTGAGGCTACAGGGAGACACTGTCTCAAGAAAAACAAAGAAAAGTGAGAAAAGCAGCTGTGAAATCTTGAATTACTTTCCAATGAACCAGCTAAAACAAGTGGGACAGTCAAAGGAAAATGATGATGGCCCAGGCTCTCTGAAGCTTTAAATGTGTTAGGTGCAGAGACTCCACAAGCAGAATGATCTTTGCAGAGTTTTACTCTGGGTTTTGACTAAGTGAAGAAGCATTTTGAGACTAGATCAGTGGTCGTCAGACTAGGACCCATAGACTAAATGTGGTCTAAGAACTACTAGTTAAGGATGGTTTCAGGAAGATCACCAGGAGTACCAGGCCAGCCTGGGCTACATAGCTAGATATTTTAAAATTGGAAACATTAAAATTATAATATTCATGATACATAAAAGTGATTTTAAATGTATACTTCGGTGTTTACAAATAAAGTTTTATTGGAACACACCTGAGATGTTTATCTATTGTCTATAGCTGTAGTCATCTAATACAGCAGAATTGTGCAGTTGTGACAAGGATTACATGGCATGTAAAGCCTAAAATATTTACTATCTGATTTTACAGAAAAAAAAATGCTGAACCTTGCCCTAAGGTAGGAAAAAAATCAAGAATTAATAGGATGAGAAAGTAAAAAAGGGCTGTTAAAGTGGATATTGGGCCCTCATTAACTTCTAAAAATCAAAACTATCATTTAACTTATGCTTTCCTATATAAATTGTGAATTAGACAAATATTTTTGATTAATAATAATTTTTCACATGCCAAAGCCAAAAATCATAACAAATCATTGCATTTACATGGGCTCCTTATGAAGCGTTGTTCTGCCTGGCTGTAATCCCAGCCCTTGGGAAGGGAAGGGAAGAGGATCATGAGTTCAAGGTCATTCTTGGTTACCTAGCAGTGTAGTAAGTTTGAGGCCAACCTGAGCAATGTGGGACCCTGTTTCAAACAAAGCAAACAAAAATGATTGATTGTCCCGGACATCTTTATATGCCTGCATTTCCAATTGTCCCTAAAACAATTTCAAACTGTCCTGGGAAGAAGCAAGTTAACCCTGAAGATGAGAAATGAGTGAAAAAAGATAAGACTTTTTTTTCTTTTTCCATTTTCATATGTGTGTATCTGTGTTTGTGTGGTGCATATATGTGTGCATGTATGTTTGCATGTTGTGTGCATATGCATGTGGAGGCCCAGAATTGATGCTGGGAATCATCCTCAGTTACTTTCAAACCCAGAGGAGCTGGTTTCCCTAGCTAGCTTGCTCTGAGGATCTCCTGTCTCTGCTTTAGAGGCTGGAATTATAGCAGGGCTGCCATGCCCAACCGGCATTTCCATGGGTTCTGGGAATCTGAACTCTGGTCCTTATACTTGCACGGCAAGTGCTTTAACCACTGAGCCATCTTCCCAGCTCAGGTAAGGCTTTAATAAGTTTGTTACATTTGTTTCATACATAAAGAAACACAAATGTGCTTAACAAGAATTTTCTGGTATATAGTGTGTTCATGAGTTCTATATACACTTTTAAGACAGTTAGCTTAAGTACTTAAGTGATCCCAAGGCCTCTTGACATATTTTTCCATTTTAATTTTTATACAGTTAAATGCTGTCTGATTTGCTTTAAGCTCAGTAAATTTTTCCCATTGTCAGTGGACCTATAATAATTTGCATGACTGTAACTAGAGATGAAATGTTTGGAATGGAGGACTTAGCATCATAAACCTTCCCTTGTTGTTCTAGTTAACATTCCCATGGGCCATTTTCAGGAACTTATAAGAGCACAGTGTTGTCATAAAAATGGTGACACTTGTCATATGATCCTTTAGAACCACATTTATGGAGCACCTATGTAATTGGTATGGACTTAAAAGGTATGTATTTGTTTCACTAAAATACCAACTTCCTAAGTGATATCCTAGTTACCCAAAGACCAATATTCAAAAAATAGTCTTATTTCATTTCCCAGAGTTCAGAGAAATGAAATTAATTTTACTTAATTAGCCCTCTGGTATTTAGGTGTTGGCAATTGGCCTATAACAGTAGCAAGAAACAACAGTGGAATGTTCTTTATAAAAGTTTATGGGGACCTGTGATGAAACATCTGAGAACCCCTTAAAATTAAAAGTTTCCTGTAGTAACTCAGTCGCCCTTTATCAAATTTCTCTGTTACTTTCAGCACACCAAAGAAGGTGCTATTCGACTCTAACTCCTCTGCCCAATGTTCCAAAGCATCATATAGACTTTACAATGGCAGTCTGAATCATGTGTCCTGCCCCCATCAGCATGACAAAGGTAAATGATATCATTCTTAATCCATCTAACAATGTACAAAAATCACCATTTTCACAATGGGAGACATTTTAGTTACAAATGAGACACAGAAAAAAACAGGATAAAAAATAGAATATCAATGAGCTGGAGAGATGGCTCAGTGGTTAAGAACACTGGCTGCTGCTCTTACAGAGGACCCAGGTTCAATTCCCAGCACACACATGGTGGCTAACAACTGTCTATAACTCCACTTCCAGGGGATCTGATGTCCTCCTCTGATCTCAGTGGGCATTGCATGATACAGGTGCACCTATGCAGGCCATATACTCATACACATAAAATAAAAATAGAATGTCAAAAGTTCAAATTGGGGGCTGGAGAGATGGCTCAGCAGTTAAGAGCACTGGCTGCTCTTGCAGAGAACCTGGGTTCAATTTCCCAGAACCCACATGGTGGCTAACAACCATCTGTAACTCCAGTTCCAGGGGATCTGATGCCCTCTTCTGATGTCTGCAGGCATTGCACCACATGGGTGCACTTACACACATGCAGGCAATATACTCAGACACATAAAATAAAATAATACAAATATTTTTTAATAAAGTTCAAATTTGTTCTATTAGCTCAATCCAGATGCCTGTGGTAGTTACTATTCTTTGTATTTGGTTTCTCTGGGTTTTAACCTCAAAAACTCTGGTTTTCTCACCTCTTCTGATTGGAAGGGATTCTCCTGACCAATCTATCTTCTTCTTTTTAAATTCTATTTTATGTGTATAGTGTTTTGCCTGCATGTATTTAAGGGGACCCATCTGTGCAATGCCTCTGGAGGCCAGAAGAGGGTGTCAGATCCCCTGGAACTAGAGCTATGGATGGTTGTTAACTGCCATGTGGATGCTGAGTTTTGAACTTGGATCTTTTTTTAATTTTTTTTTATGTGTATGCCTGTATTGCCTGCATGTAAGTAAGTGCACCCATGTCGTGCAATGCCCATGGAGGTCAGAAGAGGCTGTCAGATCCCCTGGGACTGGGGTTATGGACAGTTATTAGCTGCCATGTGGGAGCTGGGATTTGAACCTTGCTCTTCTGCAAGAACAATTAGTATTCTTAACCACTGAGCCATGTCTCCAGCCCCGAACTTGGATCTTTTTGAGAGCAGCCAGTGCTCTTAAGCACTGAGTCGTCTCTCCACCCCCACCCCCAATCTATCTTCTTAATGGGCAGATTGTGACTGAGCAAATGTTTGAGTGGCTTCTATACATTAGTTGTGTGATGTTTTCATTTATTTGTGAGTTAACTAGAATAACTTGATTTTATTTTAAAAATAATAATAGGCAGACTGTTCCCTAATTACATCCCTATCAGTCTGTGTTTCTCTTCCAGATCATTTTCCTCATTTGTATGTTCAAGTTACTGCCTCTCAGAACTAAATTCATCCTTTGTACCAGCTGTGTGAAAATGGATCTGGGCCTATTAACTATTTCTCCTTACCAGCTGATATTGTCTTTTCAGCAGAAGTGGATGCTAAAGAGACATTGCAGGTAAAAAGAATTTGTGTTCCTAGTGTCCACAGTAAGTTTCTGCAATGTGAAACACATAACTTCTCAGCTCTTGCCTCCTCACACAGGGAGAGGGTGGGGAAGGGTAGAAGGAGAGGGAGAGGAAGGGAGAGAGAGGGAAAGAGGGGAAGATGGAGAGGGAGAGGGATCCACATCTTTAAGAGATGAAAATGCAAAATATAGAGATGAATACTTTAAAGTACAGGGGTAAAACTGCTCAATATTTCTTCCAGAGTCACATTTACATCTTCCATAAAATCCTGTAGCCCACACTTCAGTTAAAAGATACATAAATAAAATCACATGCAAAAACTCCAAAGTTGTTCCTTGCCTAGACAGGATAGAGAGCCAGAGGCAGAGGAGAATATCTCTCAGAATCAGAAAAGTCTAATGTTACCACCAAGAAAACAAGAGGAACAGGACTTGGAAAGTGCTGCAGTATTGTAGCTGAAGGCAAAGACTGGGCAATGCTGTGGCTCTATGAGAAAATACAACTAAAACAGCACGGGATTGAACAAAATAAATAGATTGAATATTGCCAATTGTCTCCAAGCTTTTAATATGTTACATGTACCTTCCATCTCCATGAGAAAAACTTAAAATATAACATTTACAAACTTATTCAATTATTGCTTCTAAAGAAATTTAAAGGTCTTTGAAACATTTTTTTAAAATACTGAACTAAATCAAAGTAGAAAAAAATGCATTGGAACATGAAAGAAACCTTCCTGTGTAGAAGGGAAAGCTGTAATGCAGTAGAGAACTAACGTTGGCTGGGATGCTTGTGGCTCAGTTGCAGAGGGCCTTGGTACCATGATTTGCACTTCTGTGCACAATTACAAGAGGGAAACTATTGAGGATGCTTCTGGAAGCCATGCTCTAGAATTCGGCCCCACCATCCCAGCCCATCACCCTCCTTAGCATGTTCAAGAGAGTTGAATACAGGTTTCTCTGGGCAGGGCTGATATAGGGTAAGATAAGAGAACTGTGCAATTGAGAGCTGGATTCCCATTTCATTTAACATGTTCATACTTTGTTTCTCATCTGATTTTTTATATTAAAAATATAATATTTAGGAATATTAGATTAGGGATTGGAGAGATAGCTCAGCAGTTAAGAACATTTGCTGCTCTTCCACATTGAGTAACTCACAACTACCTGTAACTCCACTCCGGGGATCTGACACCCTCTTCTGGGTGCCACAGGCAATGGCATGCCCATAGTGCACATGCGTACGCGTGCGCACACACACAAACACACACACACACACAAATAAAAACAAATCTTTCTAAAAGAAGATACTGGGCTAATTAAGGCTAAAGCAACATGGCAGAAGAAGGGATGGTAAGAATGTAAGAACTGGAGGATGGGGAGGAGAGCTGGAAACAGTCTTAGGAACATGACATGGTCATGGTACTCATGAGTTCACAGCAGCTGGGGTTACCTGTACAAGATGGACCTGTCAACATTCCATCGTGAATGGGGGAGGGATTCATGAGGCTCCATCTCTCCCTGGGAAGCTATGGTCAGTTATTGACTGCTGGGGGAGGAATAGTGGTATAGCCACTGGTAAAGTGCTCATAGTGCAATAAATAATGTCTCATGCATGCTCGTGCAAGCAACTCTAATTCAGACACACACACACACACACACACACACACACACACACACACACAATGAAAATAGGAGGAAGAGCTTGGGGAAGAAGCAGAAGTTCAGTGGAGTGTGATGGAGAAAATAGGGGCTGAAAATGATCAAAATACATTCTATACATGTATGAAACTGTCAAAGAACAAAAAATATTTTCAATTAAAAAAAAATCGTGGTGGCACACGCCTGTAGTCCCAGCACTTGGGAGGCAGAGGCAGGAAGATCTCTGTGACTTCAAGGCCAGCCTGGTCTACAAAGTGAGTTCCAGGACAGCTGGGGCTACAGGGAGACCCTGCTTCAAAAAGACGAAAAAAAAAAATGTGTGCCCAAGGCAAAAGTCCTATTCATCTCATTCCAGGCCTGGCAAATCCTTAGCTCTTACAAGATGAGAACCAGAACTTAAAGGGTGATTTCCAGTCCATACCAACATCTTTCTTATTACTAAGTGTAAATGCAAGTTGCAATAAGTCCATATTCTTCTACAAAAGAATGCCCTTTTCACATTCAGAACCTAATTGATGGATTGACAGCAGATAAAACAGAAGAGTGTAAATTTTATAAAGTAAGGGCAACTGTATATGTGGGCATGTGCATCCACACACGTGTGCATAGATGTGATAATGTTATATGTTATTTGGTTATCAATCTTTAGTAACAAGTATAAAGATCATCTTCTTATTACTAATTTTTAAAGCATAAGATGCAGTCTCTTTATTTTTTGATCCATTTTAGAACTATCTTCAATTTTATTTAAGTATGTTGCAAACAGTATATTTAAAGCCTGTTATCTCTCATTACTGTACTTCTCTGATAGTAAGTTAGATTCTTTAGGTTGGAGAGATGCAGTAGCTGTTAAGAGTGCCTGCTGACAATATGAACTCTGGAGTTTGGATCCCAGCACCCATGTAATAAACTGTGAGTCCTGTGCATGCCTGTAACCCCAACTCCAAGCAGGGGACAGAGACATGATTGTTGGAGTTTGCCGTATTTCCTAGCTGAGAAAATTCAAACCTCAGGGAGAGATCCTGCCTCAAAAGGAATGGGCACCCTCTGGCTTTCTGGAGCTTAGCCATACACACACCCATACATGTGTATGTATACTCACATACACAGATATAAACACACATAAATATTTAATTCTTATTTTGATAAGTGAAACAGATTCTATTACCAAATATTCACAAGAACTTTAAAAGAGAGTCCTGCTGGCCCTGTAGGTCCCACTATGAGAGATGGCCCAGTGGTTAAGAGTACTGGCTGCTCTTGCAGAGGGCCAGGGTTCAATTCCCAACACCCACATGACAGCTAACAACTGTCTGTTAACTACAGGTCCAGGGGATCAGATACCCTCTTCTGACCTCTGTGGACACTGCATGACACATGTGCACTTACACACATGCAGGCAATATACTCATACACATAAAATAAAAATAACAAATTAAATACTAATAATAAAGAAAGTAAACTTTCAGTAGACTAGAGAAAAGTAGAAATTAAAACATTTTTTAAACCACTTGTTTGGGCAATAATAGTTCCCCTTTGTTACTAGAACTTTTTATTTGCCTATAAAGCACACTTATTTCTAATTCCTAACATTCTATAACTGTTTTGGTTTTTTTTTTAATTATTTTTTGCCAGACATCGTGGCACACACCTTTAATCCCAGCACTCAAGAGGCAGAGTGGAGGGTGTGTGTGTGTGTGTGTGTGTGTGTGTGTGTGTGTGTATGGTTGTAGGCCAGAAGTCAAATTTGCATGTCATTCACCAGGACCCATTCACTTTGTCTTTGAGACAGGGTTTCTCACTGGCTTAGAGCTTAGCAAGTAGACCAGACTGAAGGCCAGCAAGCCTCAGGGATCTGTATGTCTCTGTTCTCCACCTCTGGGATTATAAACACAAGCCACCATATTCGGCTTTTTTTTTTTTCTACATGAGTTCTGGGGACTGAACTCAGACCCTCATGTCTGTGTGGTTACTGCCTGATCTATTTCCCCAGCCTCCAAATATTCAGTTTTATTGAGTGACATTATTCTGATTATCTTTAAGTAAGAAATTCTATAATACATCAAATTCAATGAACTGCTGTAGATTTCACGATTTATTCAGCTTAAAGTTTATTATTCTCTGAACTGCTGAAAATGTGGTTTGTATCTAGTAGTTTCATCGAATATACTTTCTTTTTTCTGTTTTTAACTTGCCTCTCTAATATTTATCCGTATTCAAAGGAATCATGGTGTGCCATAACTGTAAACATGAAACCTGGTGGAGATTTTAGAATTTAACATACATTGTCATTCATAATTTAATCATCACTTCTCTGGTGCTATTGGTACTGATTCATACAAAAATAAATACTCTTTTTAAAGGCATCTGTAGGGGCTAGAGAGATGGCTCAGCAGTTAAGAGCACTGGCTGTTCTTGTGGAAGACTCAGGTTCAAATCCCAACACCCACATGACATCTAACAACAGTCTGTAACTCCATTTCCAAGGGATCAAACACCTCTTCTGACCTCCATGGGCACTACACGACACAGGTGCACTTACATACATGCAGGCATAACACTCATACACATAAAATTTAAAAAAATTTACAGGCATCTGTGATAAAACTGAGATTGTGAAAAATAAATATGAGAATCGCCAGAGCTATGGTCCATGGGAAGCATAACCTATCTTACAGTCAGCCTTGAAAATTGAAAGTCTTTCAGTTTTCAACTTTGTTTTGCTAGCATTTACAAACACAACCATAAAAATTCCCACCAGGCAGAGATCTGGCAAAAACATTCCAGTTGAAAGTCAAACTTTCTATAGAAACTGTCAGTTTTTAACAGACAGGGTTAGAATTGTAAAACTGGAAGAAAATAGTTGGAAAGTTGCTTTGCACTTGCCATTGAAAGAAAAGGGGAGGGCACATATCTAAACAGATTAAAGTCTAAACAATCCATCACTTTTTTTATTGAATGTGCATGAAGAGAAAAATAAATACATTTTCATTCATTCACTTCACCCTTGAAATTATTCTATTATGTGAAAAACTTATGTGGCCTTGACAACTTTAATATGAGTTGTTCAATTTTCTAAACTTCTCATTTGAAGTCATTGAAAGAAAAAAGAGCTTCTAGAAGGTTTATATTGGAGCAGATCCTTGGTGTCCTCCTTTTGAACTCCCATGGGCAGGACAGTAAGACCACATATAAAATCTGTTTCTTCACAGTACACCTTAGGAGAGTAGTATACATCTACAAAGTGGGAAATCTATCAACCCTGAGAAGGACCCTTGACTAACACATCCCACAGCCTCAAAGAAGTTTCCATCTGCAGAGTCCATGAACCCCTCAATGCCAGTGTGTCTAATATACACAACTTATTGTTTTGGGGGAAGAAAAGACAAAAGGCAACTTATATATTCCCAAAGCTCAGGACACAGTTCTTACTTTTGTTGTCTGTATACAGAATTGTGGGTGCGATAGTGGGAGGAATTGTTGTTTGGTTCAAATCTGGACCATACCACTGAAGTCCAGGGAACACTGTCCCAACTCTATTCCATGTATATGCAGTGCAAACAGTATCCCCAGGAGTCACATAAAAGGCTAGTCCTGGGTAGCCCCATGAGAAGCAGAAGGCCCGGCATATATTATGTAATCAATATAGACTTGTTGATTGAATGAATGAATATATGTATTTAAGCAGAAGCTTGGGTATCACGGTAGACTAATCACTTTCGACTTTTGGTCTATTGCTTAATTCTCTTAATTCTATTGCTTTAATATTATTCATCCCTATTTGTTTTCTATGTGTTGCCACTACCTTAAATTCAGGCCTTTACCATCTTGACTCTCAACTGCAATAGACACCTATCATTTCCCCCCACTTATGCCCATTTCAATCCCAATTCTTTCTCTGTATAGCCATCAGTGTTATCTTTAAAGAA